GGAATGCCTTTTTAGAGGTTTAAGTTGATGTGGAGTCAAGTTCGTTTGTTTTAAGTTAAGGGCTTTTATTATGCATGTTAATCATGAAGAGGCATTTTGTCTGGAATTCAAGTTTTGCATAGATTGAAATTAATTGATTGTTTAGATAAGCTCTTAGTCTCTGTGGCTTAACAACACAACTGAAGGTATTTTTGTTTCTGTTCTTGAATATAAACTTATACTGAAATTTGTGGAGATTTTCTCTTTGTTCCACAGGTAACGCAAGCCCCCGCTACATAAGATGCACATCTTACAATATTCCGTGCACCTCAGATATGGCCAAACAGTCCCAAGTTCCCCTTGCTGCTGTCATAAAACCGCTGGCTACTCTACCCCCAGAAGAGGTAAGAACCATATGCAGAGTTACATGTGCACTGTGTACACTCTGAACTTGTCAGGAGAATGCTATGAGATGTCAACATTTAACGGATACATTGGGAAGGAATGTTTAGGTAATGAAGACTAGGTAAACACTGATTCTCCTGCAGGCGTGTGGTAGAGATCTGTAAGGCAGAAGAATGTTGTGTTCAAAACATTTAGTATTTTGATCACCTTGATAATTTCAGCTTTTTTGCAGTAGCTATCAAGCGCTATGACCAAAATACTAGGGTGGTCACAAATGTGTACACTTCCAGTTGATCTCAATTTCTTTCTTGGCCTAAAGTATTTAAATGGTTACTACTCACTGATGTTAAGCCTTTTCTAGGATGTGAAGTTGTGGATTTGGATGAGAAAGTATCAAGCAGCACTGGCTAAGCTGTCTAATGTGCATGTACATGCACAGCACTGTGTGGGATGACAGCACAAGACTGGGTACTAGGCACTGCTGAGCTGCACTTGCATTTCCGCCCTTGCGTGGTGCAGGACTTATTTCCTTCTAGGTGTAATGTGTGGCTAGCTAGCCTTTTCCCCACTCTGGTTGCTGAGAACATGAAAGCTTCAAGAATATTAGAGAGCTAGAAATTTCATAAAATTTTCTAAATACTCTGGCTACTGTGTAGTGTTAGCCTGCTTGGAGCAGTGACATAAAGACAAATACGCTTGTTAAATTTGAATACATATGTTTGCAGTATTCTGTGCCCTAGTTAAGCTTAACTTTAGCATCTGCTGAGGAAGGGAATATCCTCTGGGCTTTTAAGGGTGTGCTTTTCCACTTGCATTTTATTAATGTTCCTAAACTGTGGTTTGGATTTTGAAAACTGGTTTGTGATAAAACTGAGTTGTGAAGTTAATTCCTGCATTGCTGTATTGTGGCCGGTGTTTAAAAGAGTGTGATAGGAGAATGTGGTCTTATTTGAGAAACCTGGAGGCTTGTGGAGCTGCACGTTTTTAGAGAAGTTTTACAAACAACCAGTTGTTAGGTCTTCTGTTGTGTTTATGCTTTGAACAAACGCTTGTGATAGATATCCAAAGAAAACATGGCTAGGATCGGAAAATTGCCTTGGAGACCAGTCAGCTTCTAGCATTGGGAAGTTCTTTATGGCAAGGGCAAACTCCCTGTGGAGGGGCCCTTCCAAGACATGAAGGCTCAGCTGTTCAGAGCAACAAGACTGTAAATAGAGCTAAAGCTTAATGTATCAGTAAGGAGCGGATAAATGTCTCATGAAAATACAGCATTCGGGTAAATCTAGAATATGTAAGAATTCAAGACCTGGTTGCCAGATACAGGACCTTTGTCCTATGTTAGTGCACAGTTCAGAAAACAGACTTGAGGTTTCAGAAAGAAGTACCTCTGTGCCACCTTGGAGTAAGTGGTTAGTGACAAGGTATGCATAGCACTGCATGTTTACAGCACCCTTGTAGTTTGTTTGCATGCATGCTATGGAGGGAGGGGCTGAGGGGAAAAAAGCTTATTGTGCACAAGTACAATACCAACATTGCCTGGCAGTGAGAAAACTTGAAATTCTGTTTCCTTTGTGGAGGTTGACCTGGGCTATAGGAGCTGAGAAATGCTGGCTGCAAAACCTTTGAATTGCCAATAAATCATCAGTGGGGTTGAATGAGAGATGTGACACATCTGTGGCATAAAGAGGAAGAGTGACTGGAGCATTTGCTCAACTCCTGCTTGATTAATATGTTGTCTCTTAAACATAATCAGAGGTTTAGGGTGACTGAGAGCGTTAAGACTGGAAACCTTTAGTGTCAGAAAATTACAAGTAATTAATTAAACTTTCTTTTGAGCTAGATTCTTAGTTATGAAAGGTGCTTTGAACTAAGTTCTCTCTTAATAATTTTGAAGTGCCTCCTGCTCATTCTGAGGTTGAGAAGCTGTAGAAGTTGCCAAGCACCTTATTCTGGTTTGGCTGCAAAAAGAATATATGATCAGTAGTAGTTCAAAAATGGTATCACTACGTAACAGTTTTGTGGACTTGCTGTACAATGGGTCAAGACAAGCAGAACTTATGGATGTACTGTATTTCATGGTGGACTTCAAAAATAAGTCTTAATCAGCTGAAATTTTTTAAGATAGTCTGGATGCTCTATGGTTTTGAATATATGGAATGCAATCACTGGCTTCTATGCTGTCAGAAAGCTTGCTTTTTACAAGGGAAAAATACAAGAGATGAAGAGTTGCTTTGAGAACACCCAACCTGTGGTGAAATGTAAATTGTATGCTTACTCCCGTGAGGTTATCACAGCCGTTCTTTGTATGGCTTCAGTCTTTCGTGTTCACTTGGGATACATTTGTGCTGTGCGGTATGGTACTCGTGCTAGAGCTCATGCTTTTCCAGCAGGCTACTGTATAAGGTAGTGCAGCACCATGCAGGAAGTGCTTGTTTGTGTCTAAATGGGACAGCCCGTAGTTAATGACTGCAGCCCACAGAGAACCGCTGTGCTAGAGTTTGAGTTGAAAAGCATTTACAAAATATGTGTTTGGGCTTCCCATACTCCCTACAGTCTCTCCCAGAGCTGCCAAAATGCTAAATCCTATGCAATGTACAGGGAGATAGTTTTAAGCTCTGCAATGTGTGGTTGCCTCTTTCTCATTATCATGTGACCTTTTTATTTTTTTATCCCTGCTTACACAGACCCTTCCTTATTTGGTAGACCATGGAGAATCTGGTCCTGTCCGATGTAATAGGTGCAAGGCTTACATGTGCCCTTTTATGCAATTCATTGAGGGTGGACGGAGGTTCCAGTGTTGTTTCTGCAGCTGTGTCACTGAGGGTAAGGTTTCTTCTGGAGATCAGTCTCTAGGCTGTATGGGAGTGATCTTTAAACAAGATGCAAGCAAATAAATCTTTACTACGTGATGATAATTTATAATGTATACTGACTGCGTGTTCACTCTTGTGAAAAAATTCATTATGAAACATGTTTAGTGCTCAGTTCTGAAATTATGTTCCAATTGAGTAGGTACTTATGCATTGCAGTGTACCAAATTTTTACATGAGGTACTTGTAGCATAATGTATGGTGGTTTGAAAAATTATTTATGCTATTTTCTTAGGGTATTTCAAACTTAATGTTTTTCTGTGCCAGACTGAGATCTACATCTAGTCAGTAGCATGAGTTGGGGGTTGTTTTTTGGTTTTGTTTTTTTTTTTTCTCACAAAGCCTGTTTAAACACTGCTTAGAGATCAAATTGCAGCTGAATCTGATACAGGTGAATAGGAGTGTTTAGTATATGCCAGTTAATCTTTGTTGCTCTTCTAAATTGTTATAAAACATGCTTCCTTTTAAGCAGAAGTCACTATGTGCTGCACATAGCATGGCATCCATAGATTTGTTTTGAAGGCACAGTGGCATGTAAGGTACAAAAAACCTTATGGTGATGTTTTGAGTGTTTCATTTGGTAGCACTGATGGCTTTTAATGGACCGTTCTTACAACCTTGATTATACTGTACAACTATTTGTACAGACCAAAATGGGAAGCTGACAGGGGTTAGAAAAGGCCAACTTTAAAAAAACTTTTTTATCTGAAGATTTTCAGCCTGCATGCATTCCTTGTCCCTGCTTACTCAGCAGCTGTATGAATGGCTAATGGCTGTACCTGCAACAACTGAGCAGGAGCAGAAAAGGGAGGGATGCTCAGAGACTGCTAATGAAAGCAGTGCTGTGAAAATACAGTGCAGTTTTACCTAATACTTGAAAATTATTTCTGTTTTCTCTACAAAAACAATCAGGTAATGAGCTTGTACCAGGTGTGTACTTGCAGAGGAGGAGAATGATAGGTGCTTTTATATATAGTCTCAATGATACCACCTTGTTTTCTTTTGAACTGTTGAAACTTTGAATGTTTAAAATAATTTAAAGGTGGTGAATACTATCACTATGTATAATCTCATTTTATTCTCCCCTAGAGCTGTATAAGCAACTATAGCTGGAATACATTTTGTCACCCTAGCAATTCTGCAGGAGGGACTCTTTGTCATGGTAGTTCTTGGGGCATGAGGGAAATGCTTTTTTTGTCTCTGCAGCTGACTTTTGTAGGCCAAAACTTAGCTTCACTCCCATTTTACTTTCTGATGCCTGGTACCAGCACAAAAGTACTGAGTGCTGGACATGTGGTCACACTTCTGGTTCCACCTTCTTAATGCCTTACAATCCACTGTAAGAGGTACCCTGTCTATTCTGATGAAAGAATTATAGCAGTCTCTGCACCTGAGAGTGCCTAGCAGGCTTTACTAGTGTGCAGCGTGGGAAGGGAAGGAAAAAGCTTACTCATATATCAAAATAAGGAGCTCTGTCTTTTAGTAAGGCTGAATCGAGTCAGTAATGTTGTAGCCTGTCATTTGCCTCAAACTCTGTTGTAAAATATTTGTTACTACTTATACAAGATGGTTATATTTTTCCTTTGGACTAAATCCTTCGGAAGAGTCCTAAGAGTGTATTGTAGTGTTATTTCTGGTATGAAACGTAAAATGAGAATGTAAAGGAGAGTCAAGAAAGTACAATAGTGACTGACTATACAGTGTGCCACCTGGTGCCTAAGACAAACCGGAAGCAGTTTGTCTGTATTTCTTGGCTTTACTGATGCTCTTAAATTGCATTAATATTTTTAATAATACTTGCATGCCAGCACAGAGTGCTAGCTATCTTTCCTGGCGTTTTATTTGAAAAATCTGTTACCATGTTGGCTCTCTAGTCACAGTGTTTATCATGGGCACATCACTGAACGTAATGATTTTTCCTTTCCTAGTGCCACCTCACTACTTCCAGCATTTGGATCATACTGGAAAGCGAGTAGACTTTTATGACCGACCTGAGTTATCACTGGGGTCTTATGAGTTTCTAGCAACAGTTGACTATTGCAAGGTACAGTAGTACATGTTTGTTACTGTATTTTGGTTTGCTTTTAAATAAAAAACCGATTTTCTTAAAAGTAAGAATGGCATGAATTGTCTGGGGCTGCTTTCTAGCTGGCAGAGATAATTGACAGCATTAACCTGACCTACTTCATTGTGTAAAATAATGTGCTTGTCTGCTTACTTCCCAAAGTAGAGGAAGTCTTGATCACATATCACATAATAGAATTTTATTATAGCTGCCTCTGTCATTCTCTTCTGGAGCTATGTAAGCAGCTGTAGCTGCTGTTACCTTAGCAATTCTGCAGGAGGGACTCTCTTGCAGTAGTCCTTGGGGCAGAAGGAGAATGTGGGAGAGAATAAAGAAAAGTGTAATATTAACTATACAATCTGCCACCTGTTGCCTAAGAGTTTACTTATCGAACTTAAATTTCAAATACAGCCATAGTGGTTAAAACCACAAGAATAGTGAGGAAATGTGTATTGTCAGAGCTTGTTCAATTTTAAAGACTTAATTATTAACTTCTAAGGAATAGGAAAAATATGTGCAAGGTGTTTATTAAAGCAAATTATATCTCTGCTGAGATAAATGCTGGGAAAATAGGTGTCTAAATGTTGCAACTTTATACTGGTTACCTTCTGATACCTCAGCTTTACTTTAAGTTAAGGGAAAAAACAATTATCTTGCTTTTTACCAGCTTAGTAAGTATTTTTAATTCAAACAAGATGTGATCTTCCCAGCTTTTTTGAAAGTTCTTCTGTTTTGCTTTTGTTCTATTTGCTCCTTCTGGTATGACCTATAGACTTAAGAAAACTGTTGGCTGAAACAAGGTTTTCTTTCCCAAAGCAAACCTCATATTTAAGTAGAAGGGAAATGTTGAAGTTCTCAGAAAGGAAAATCTTTTGCTTTATATAGGTAAGTCACCTATAATGAATCTGGTCAGGTTCCAAGGTCCTGAGAGCTGGCAGGAAACTTCCCTGTCTACTTTCCCTGTCTGGTCTAGTCATGTAAATGGATGATTTAGATATAACTAGCCTCTCTTTCACTGAGCAATGGCAAAATCGGTATAGGGCATGTAATACCAGTCCATTTCAAGCACAGTGTGCTTACGTTAGTTGGGCAGGGATGGGAGAATGATCTGAAGAAACAACTACTGCTCATGAGCAGAAAAGTACATGAAAGCTATTATGAGTTTTGACCAGGATTCATTTGTCTGTGTTACAGAGCTGTTATGTGGGCTGCATTAAATGGACATAATGTGACTTCTTCCCTCTTTTCCACAGAATAATAAGTTTCCCAGTCCACCTGCTTTCATTTTCATGATTGACGTGTCTTACAATGCTGTGAAGAGTGGCATAGTGAGGCTAATATGTGAAGAATTAAAGTCACTCCTAGATTACCTGCCCAGGTACGTATATTGTGTAGTACTGTAGCCAGTCAAAATAGGGGAAACTGTCACTTTTTCCCTTTAAAAAAAGCTAGAAATTTAAAAATCATTTGATAATCCTATCAAGCGTTTCTTCATAAAAAGGCCAAGCAGAACATCTTTGAGTACCTTTCAAGTGAAATAAATGTTCCTTCCTGTCATTTTTTTCTTATCCATTATTGTGTTGGGTTCTGTGTAATGATTTTGGTATCTACTTAGAAGTGAAGACGTATGTCTCTTACAGGGAAGGCAACATGGAAGAATCAGCCATTCGAGTAGGCTTTGTCACCTACAACAAAGTGTTACACTTCTATAATGTGAAGAGCTCACTGGCACAGCCACAGATGATGGTTGTCTCAGATGTGGCAGATATGTTTGTGCCACTCCTTGACGGTTTTCTGGTGAATGTGAATGAGTCCAGGACAGTCATTACCAGGTAATAGAAACTGAGTTACAATGTGTGTAGTAAACTTGTTTGGTAGATTGAAGTGTTGCATGCTTATTTGTAACCTAGAAAGTCGCTCATGTGTTTTAACTTCCTATACTCTTTGAGGTTAAGCTGGCAAAGTAGAATGGGAAAATTCATGGGGTAAGGATGTATTTGGCTTGTAGTCTAGCTTGGCAGAAGGTATATACAAGGGGATTTAGTGCAGAAGGTCATTTCTGGGAGAGGAAAAAAAACAAACAAAAAAGAATGATGCAGTGTGAACGTCGTAAGAATACTGAATCACTGTCTTGTAAGGCAGCTGCTTAAATAACTGTAAACTGAGAAAACAGTGGTATCTAATTCTGGTTCTGTGGAGAAAACTGAATGAGTGAGATGGAGAAGATAAAATCTAGAAGGAAAGAGAGAAATTAGCAAAATTCTGGTAAACTATTTAACTAACTTGATACTTGAACTGTAATTAAACTGTGGCGTGTAGCTAACTATGTTTTGGGAACCAGACCTGGCACTGCAGGTTTTTAAAGAAAATTTCTAGCCTGTTTTGTAGTGCATTAACAAGCATAAATACAAAACTGTGGATTAAATATATTGATCTTTGGTATACAGGATGTTTGGCAAACAGATGCCAAGTGTCACTAGTATCTCCTAAGACTTTTCTTACCAATATACATTGAAATATATTAAAAGAGCAGGAATACAGAAGAGCTATTGGAGTAGGCATCAGTTGAGGCTAGACAGCAAGCACTGAGGATATGGATGAGAGGAGCCAATGAGGAATGACAAAGCATCATTTTTTTTCACAGATAAATGTTGAGATGCCAAATAATGTAAAAGTTATGCAAGTTTAGACATGTTAGGGACTGCTTTTTAAACCCCCTCAGTGTCATAGGTTGTCATCTGCAACTGTGTGGCTTTTCCAATTAAATGGAATCTTGAATTCCTCCTTTTTCTTGTTCTTTGCTAGTTTGCTGGATCAGATTCCAGAAATGTTTGCAGACACAAGAGAAACAGAAACTGTTTTTGCACCTGTGATTCAAGCAGGGCTGGAGGCGCTGAAGGTTAGTAAACGCATTGTCATAGCAAATTGTTTTCAGTCTGAGTACTCTGAAGTTCATATTCTGCTAACACACACTAATAAGACAATTCTAAAGCTTTTCATAAGTCTCCTTGTGGTAGATGTGCTACATGTAGGGAGTATGTGGCTTATTCTTCAAGTGCATATACCTCTGGTTCTATGTAGCTATCTGTTCTCTACACAATTATATTTTTTTTTAATAATTTTTGCTCAAGACACGTGGCTTACTCTCAGTTACCTGGTTGGGTTTTGCTTTGAACAGTTTATAGAACCTACAAACCCCCCTGACCCTCCAATGTTAAAACCAAGTGCTGAAGTCTCCTGTCTCATTGAGTTCTGTAACATGGTGTCTTTCTAATCCTAGGCGTAAAGCTCTGACATAATCTTAAATAAAAGGAGAGAATGAAATCTGTTGAAGTTGCCCGCAACAATGGGCTAACCAAGTAAACCTTTCCTGAAGTTCTTCAATTCCAGTACTTCATCCAGATAATTACACGCATGATCCAACTCCAACTTGTATATACTGATGAAATTGATTGCCTGTATGATTCCATCCAAAACTGTTCATTCATATAGCTCTATTTTTCTGTCATATAAGTCCTTAGAAGTCTCTTAGACTCAAGTTTTCATGATAATTGTTCAATCCAGAAATAATGTAAATTACTAATTGATTGTTTACATACTGCATGTGTCAGAGAAAATAACCTTCTAAACATTGTCTAGTGTTCACATAGGTTATTTGTATAAAATTAATGAACTGTTGAAGCTCAGATTACAAAATCCTGTGCCATTTCTGTGACTCTTTTCCGCAAACTCAGGAGCTGCAAATCAGAAATGAAAGCAGTCTAACACATTTGCACAAAACCTTTTGTAGATAAGTTCTGCTTACTGCTCTGTGTTTCCTTCGAGCCAGACCTTTTCTCCCTGCCATGGAACTAGCACAGGTCCAGTAGAACTGGAACTTTTGCTTTTCTTCTAAATGACCAGCAAGCTGTGCTCCATGTGTTGGATATCACTGAAGTAACCAAGTGATCGCTGAGCCTGTGTGTCTGATAGAGAGCCTTCCTAACATAAAGAAATGAAGAAATGAGGATGTTTGAATTCTTCTTCTGGAATCACAGATTCCATTACAACATTTATAAATGTTTCTAACCTGCACTATTGCCCTTGTTTTCCTGCAGGCAGCTGAGTGTGCTGGCAAGCTTTTCATTTTCCACACCTCTCTGCCCATTGCAGAGGCACCAGGGAAGTTAAAGAACAGGGATGATAAGAAACTGATCAACACAGATAAGGAGAAGGTAATAATGACTTGTGTGATGCTTACATAACAGGTCTATATTGTACTCTTTATGGGATAAAACAACTCTGAAGCCACGTTAAAAAAATTACAAGGGTAGCACATAATGTAACCATCCCGGCTAGTATTTTTTAACATTGCACTTTTATCTTCTGTACTCAAGCAGAGCTGTGTAGATTTGACATCATAAGGACAGCTCTGGTATGAGAACAAGAGGAGGTAGATTTAGGTTCTTATACAGGATAAAATACTATAGTTGGGTTAAAATAGATGTGCTGAATTAAAGCAAGATGTATAGTAATTTTCATAATATTCAACAGTTCTCAAACGCAGGGTCAGGAAGAATTTATATGATCCTAATTTCCCTGAAGAGAAACTTAAAGTATAAAAGTGTATTGACTGGGATTATAAACTGGATCTCACTTTCCATTTCGTCCCACAAACTTCTGATCTCATCTCTGACTTCCTTTCTTAGACTTTGTTTCAACCACAGACAAGTTTTTACAACAACTTGGCCAAGGACTGTGTGGCCCAGGGCTGCTGTGTGGATCTGTTCTTGTTTCCAAACCAGTATTTGGATGTGGCGACACTAGGCGTAGTAACTTACCAGACGGGCGGCTCCATTTATAAGTATGCGTATTTCCAGGTAAGAGTGACATTGACTCAAGACTCGTATTTGATCTAAATAAGAATTATATTTTAGTTAAGAGTTCTTCTTCATAGTGTGACACATACAGAACAAGTACTTGTTTGGAAATAAATTGCTACTTAAATTTCAAGATTTTCAGCAAGACTATTTTGTTAGCTTTGTGTCTTTACACACAAAATATCTCTATTAATAACAAAAACAAGAAAAGCTATGCTGTTACCTTTTAGCACAATATAAAGTTAAGGGCACTGAGCCATGTATGATGGCTGATTTTTAGAGTAAGAGTGCAGGAGATAGTATCTGTTTTTAAATTACGTTATGGGTTATGGAGCAGCTCTGATTTATGGGAGTGTGAAACTTGAATTATTGCTTGTGTTCCAGCTGGAGACAGACCAGGATAGGTTCCTGAATGACTTGAGAAGAGATGTCCAGAAAGAAGTGGGATTTGATGCTGTAATGAGAGTGCGCACAAGCACAGGTGGGTGTTAGCATGAATGAGTCTTAATAAATTGACCACTTCAAGCATATCATATGGGAAGTAACAGATTTTTTTCCCTAATTTAAAACATCTTGAGACTAGGCTATGCAAAAAGCTCTGCTAAAGCTTTGAAATTGTAAGACTTTTGTCAAGACTGAGTAAAGATCCCTGCTGAAATCTGTCAAGATAACTTAGTGTCACTAATGACAGGATTTTCAGGGCTCCAAAGGCTGTCTGTCTTGTTACTCTGTTGAAAATTGTGGTTCATGGTTTCTCTTTTTTAGGTATTCGAGCAACTGACTTTTTTGGAGCTTTCTATATGAGCAACACAACTGATGTAGAGATGGCAGGTTTGGACTGTGATAAAACAATCACAGTGGAATTCAAGCATGATGACAAACTGAGTGAAGACAGTGGTGCACTCCTTCAGGTGAGGGGAGAGGCTTTCCAGGAGTTGTGAGTTGACAAGTGAGTTGACAGTTTAGAATTGTCAATAAAACTGTGTCAAGGTGGAACCAAACCTCAACTGGTGAGAGTGCCAGTTGCAGAAAAGGATGAGGTCACTCTGAACTGAATGATTAGACAGTCCTTCAAGGACCTGTTCATTCTTTCTTTCTGCCCCTCACTATACCCTTAACCTTTCTGCGTATGTGTTCTCAGGGTGACCTAGACTGCTTCAAACTACAATCTGTTTTCCAAGACCAGGTCCCTTAATACAAACTGCTAACATTGCTGCTTCCTATCTTTCATTGACCCCGATTCTTAGCATATGCTTTTAGTTTATTGTGCAAGTCTTTTATTTGTTTAGGCGTCTGAGTCCTAGTTTTTAATGAAGTATATTCAGACCTGGCCTTTCTTATTGTAGCAGGACCTCATTTTTCTGTATCCTGGCATTTTTGTTTCCTACAGTGTGCTCTCTTATATACAAGTTGTGCAGGACAGCGACGACTCCGCATTCACAACCTCTCTTTAAACTGTTGCACACAGCTTGCTGACCTCTATCGAAACTGCGAGACAGACACACTCATCAATTACTTGGCTAAATATGGTAAGGGTAATTATGGTAACAAGAATTGCAACCTTTTAACTGCTGTTGAAGTGCCTGTTGTCATCCAACGACACCTGTTTATTCTCTTTTTGTCAAATGTCAGGTGGCAATCCTGATACTTTAGTCATTTATGGGAAGGAGCATGAAGCTGTGATGATAGCAACAGTAGTTGCTTAGGAGGAGAGGCACAGATAGAGTGTGTAGGCTTATCCTTCATACAAATTCTTGTCTAAATTTTTTTAATAGAGGTTTGTATTGACAGCTATCTGAATTCATCCTTGTATTGTGTTTATTTAGTTCATTCTTTAACTGCTCCAGAATTTTGCTCCGGGAGTAGGAAATGGTGGCCTTTGCTCATAGGTCTGGTTAAATATTATGATTTTATGCATTGTACCCTATTTATACTTACTAGTTTGCAGTAAAAGCCTACAAGTCCAGCAGAGATTTAGAGTAGTGTATGTTTATCGCCATTAAAATGTACAAACCAGTCCATTCTCAGTCCATTAAAGAAAGATGGTCAGGCTATAAAAGGATTTTTTTATAGTACCCCATGCTTTCAAGTATGACTAAGTGTATTTTGAAGTACATGGGAGATTGAGAGCTGAAGAATATGTAATAAAACAGAGTAGATGAGCTTCTTCAATAGGAGCTTAGCATCTCTTTCCCACAAGTTTGAAGGGAAGGGGAAAAAAAGACTTTCAAAAACAATAGTTGTTTAGTACCGTTTGAAAGTAGTTTTGGCTTTTTTACTGTTAATAGGCAATCACTTGATAGCTGTCCATCTCTTTCCTCTTTCTGTGCAGCATATCGTGGAGTTCTGAGTAGTCCAGTAAAGACTGTACGAGACGCACTGATCAACCAGTGTGCCCAGATCCTAGCTTGCTATCGCAAGAACTGTGCTAGTCCCTCTTCTGCTGGCCAGGTAAACTCCAATGCTTTCACTTGAATCACAGGCTCAGGTATTAAAAGCTGATGAGAGCTGCTTCCTACTTAACCTACTCAAGAAAAGTCAATTGCTTTGCTCAGCAGAAATTTGCAAAGAGAAGACTCAGGGAAGTAGAGAGACTGCAAATAAAATTACAGTTGAGAGTGGCTTCTTGGACATTTGTCTGGAGCCCAGGAAGCAGTGCCTGCTCCAGGGAAAAGTTTTATGTTACTTTTGCAAGTCCATGATATAATTAGACTATCAGCTTTCACTCCTCACAGCTGTACCACACTTCGTTGGTTCATGCAAGCCTCATTTTGTCAAACATAAGCTTGTTCAGCAAAACAGCTGACCAGCTTCTGTCTGCTTGTGACTTGTAGCTGATCCTCCCTGAATGCATGAAGCTGCTTCCTGTGTACTTGAATTGTGTGTTGAAGAGTGATGTCCTTCAGCCTGGTCCGGAGGTCACAACGGATGACCGTGCCTACATTCGTCAGTTAGTCACATCCATGGATGTGGCAGAAACAAATGTTTTCTTTTATCCCAGGCTTTTGCCCCTGGTGAGTAATTCAGGGTATCCTTACCACTTGAGACTTGCTGTTGTCTTGACTCATTGTAAGGACTAACATTTATATTTTAGCAAGGGAAAGTGATTTGAGAAGGATTTGAGATCTGCCATCTGTTGGGATACTTCACTTAATTCCACTCGGTGATAAATGCATCTTGTGAATTTGCTGGGGGATGTTTTTCCTGAGCTGTGAGCATATGACTAGTGGCAAAAAAAGACACTTTTGACCCTTTCATAGTCTTTTAAAAGTCCTAAAGCTTCTTGTAACTTTATGTTGTAATTTTCGTCATTGCAGGGCAACTCCATGTATTATTCTGACTTTTCAGAACTATAGTTGCTGGAATAAAACTAAAAACTAATTACGTTCCTACTCCAGGAAGCAATACTGGAACTACAGAGTCATTTGACAGAAGCCTTATGTTCTCTTTTGCTGACCAAGAGTCTCTGATCTGCTTCTGTGTCACTGAGAAAACTCAGCTAAGGAAGATGATACTTCAGTCACAGCTGTTGCAGTCTTATGAGTCCTAGAAATGAGCAAACTGTAGGGTCTTAGTGGCAGAAATTTTCAGGAATTCATAAGATATTCTTGGTTTATAACCTTGATTTTATTTTACTTTTCATTTCACTGTAAAACAGACCAAAGCAGATGTTGACAGTGACTCCTTGCCAGCAGCAATCCGGAACTCAGAGGAGCGTCTCTCCAAGGGTGACATATACCTGCTGGAGAATGGGCTGAACATCTTTGTGTGGGTGGGAGTCAACGTGCAGCAAGGCCTGATCCAGAACCTCTTTGGAGTGTCATCCTTCAGTCAGATTAGCAATGCCTTGGTGAGCTGGATGGCAGTGTGGGAGCAAGTGTCTGTGAGAGTCACCCAAAACTTTAAACAATGAGAAAGCAAGTTGAGAAAACAGTGTTAAAAATTTCATACTAGGAACGAGAGAAGCACAGATGTAACTAGTGGAAATGTCCCTAGGCTGGGCATGTTGGGCATGCTTTTGCCTAGCTTTATTTGACAAGCCACATCTCCACTGACAGTGAAGAGAACAGTTGATATATACGTGAAATGAATAATTGACCTTCAATCCTGATACCGTGTTATATTCTCTTTTTTTTTGAGGTCAAAGAGATTGTATGTTAGTGAGGGTGGATATATGTAATATGACAAAACTGAGAGTTTTGTTTAATGTTGCTCTACTTTGCGTGGCTAATGGGGACTGGATATCTTCCATTCCAGAGTACCCTGCCTGTCTTGGAAAACCCCTTTTCAAAGAAAGTACGATCTGTTGTTGACACGCTTCAAGTGCAGAGATCCCGCTACATGAAGGTAAAAGTGTTGTCCGCCATTCATACCTTTAAATCCCCTTCCCTTTTCACAGAGCAGGTAATGCCTGCTCATGCTGCAATGCTGAACTTACTCTTCCTGATCTTATAAATGTGATTCAAACAAAGTTTTCAAGGATTGGAAAAAACATTTTGTTACTAGTTTTGGAGTTCTGTGCTTACCATAGTTCTAAAACTAACTTTTTTCAGCCATTTTATAATATACTACTGCACAAGCCACGTACATGGTATTTTCCTTCTGTTTAGAAAGGATTGAGATTTAACCCAGCTTAGTTACAGAAGTCAAAGACCGTGAGCCAGATATGCTCTGATTCTGGTTATCTGTCTTTGGATTTTTGAGCTATTTAGCTTTTTGCTGTTTTTTCCAAGAACATTAATTCTGCTAACTACTCACTGTTGGTTTTGTTCTTGTTTTGTTTTTTTTGTTGGTTTTTTTTTTTTTTTTGTAGTTAATCATTGTGAAGCAAGAAGATAAGCTGGAAATGCTGTTCAAACACTTTCTAGTGGAGGACAAGAGCCTGAGTGGGGGGGCTTCATATGTGGACTTCCTGTGTCACATGCACAAGGAGATTCGGCAGCTACTGAGCTAGAGGAGGGAGTGGTGCTGGAACTCAGCAGTGACATTTCAGTCTCCACTAATGACCTGATCGGAAGGCCCAGCGCCCTCAAAAAGGACAACATAGAAATCTGTACAATTCCATAATTTTTAATACACATTGCATAAGCAGAAATCCTTTCAACCTCTCCCAGTCCCGTATGAGAGATGAAAATTTTTCCTGGTGAGGGCTTAAAAAAAAAAAAAAAAAAAAGGCCTTTGATACCAGGTCTTTTACTTGCATTTAAATTGTTTCCTGTGCTTGGCAGGAGTTCACCCCCCGACCCTGTGCTCGCTAATCCTGTCGTAATGAATGTAGTTTTTTTCAGTTCACTGTACATGATTCAACATCGGGTGAAAAAGCGATAACTCTTCAAAACTTCTGGTAGTTGCTGTGTGTTTGTATGGGCGTGTGTGCATGCTCCGAGTGTGAACAGGATGTGCAGGTGGGGAGGACAAGAGGCAGGTCAGGTGATGGGAGCTGGAGCAGCCAAACATTTTGTGTCTCCTTTTGAGGGAAACATGACATTGCAGAGCACAGGTGTATCAGATGGCTGTCTGACCCAGAAATCCATGAAAGAGGAAATGAGTGGTAAGCCAGGAGGCAGCAGGGCAAATTTATTTCCACAATCTTCCATGTTCTGTAAGTTGCTGTGCAGATCTGTAATGGAGTAAATAATAGTTCAGTGAGCAAAAACCAACACCTTCTGAACAGCGTAGGGATGGAGACGGTGCTTCCTGTTGGTGTGTGTGGTGACTCCTTTGCTTCTCATTGCACAGCTCTGTAATGTCCTACTCAATCCGTGTTCCATGGCCTCTCCTGCAGAGCTCACCTATCTGTCCAGATGGTGGTGGGAACAAAAGCCTCTTAACCTTAAGCAGAAAATACTTGTAACAAGGTGATGTGAGGCTCTGTAGGAACTGGATGATAAGGAAATGGCCATTTTCAACCATATTATTGTGAATCATGGCAAACAAGCAGGAATTTGATTTATACTGATGCAAATTCGAGACTGCTTTGTACCCTGGAATACAAGGAAGGGGATATAAAAACTAGAATTTAGACTGTACTCTAGTAGGTATTGCAAGTACCTGATTTTGGTTATCAAAAGCATCTGGGCCATAGTGAAGAGTTTTGTTACTGGATGTTTATACCTTCTCCCATTCTACCTACTGATCAGCTTGCAGAAAACCTTTTTATAAGCCTGTTTGTTAAACTAAAATACCTCAGACAGATTAATCCATCCACTTTGGCCACTCTGCTGCTCCATTCTGCACGGGTGGATGAGAAGACTCCTACGAAGAGGGAGCAAGTATAAATCAAATTCAGAATTCTAAGGGCTTCATTTACTCACTTTTGAAAGGAGGCTTCTGCATTTTAGCTTGAACACTTAACAAGTGTTCTTACAATACCCAGGAGTTTTAACTACCAACAGCACTAAAAGTGGAAGGAAGAATGTGGGTGGGTTAGAGAACATGTTATCTGGGCTTAATATTTCAGGGGAAAGTCCTTGTTAAGATCAGAAAAATATCTGGCTGTGGTTTTAGTTCCATATCCTGTAGCATGTACCTAAATCCATTTTTCTTCTAATGCTGCTAGTTTGTCTTCCCTCCCATCACTACACAGAAAGGGCAATATGAAAATTGTAATGGAGAAACTCTTTCAAGATGTAATTGACAGAACCTTTGGTGTTTTTGTATGAATGTGGCCAACTTTTTACTCCACGTACTGCCTCCAACCAAAAAATCTAGAGGATTTTTAACCAGAGGGCGAAAAAGAACTTCCCAGGAACATAAGGCGCAGCAACCACAGACTTCCACAAATACTAATTTCTAGTATTAATATTGGGGGGTGTGGGGGTGGAAATGAAATCATAAATGAACCTTTCATTTTCTTCACTTGTTTTTTCCAATACATCTTTTAATTTGTAAAGAAATAAAAATATATTAAGATGTATTTTATGTCATTGTTGGTAAATAAACACTGCTTATTTTTCCAAACCCTGTATTGTGCGGGAGGGAGGAGATGGGAAGGGCTGAAGTCTAGCTGATGGATCCTTTACAATCCAGTATTCTGCTGACCAAATTTAGTCTTTTTTTTCCTCCACACTGAATGATGATAAATTCAACAAGAGTCAACGGACAAAAGGTGCTGTTTAATCTCATTGTTACTTTGCTTAGATGATTGGTTTTTAACTTTCTGCCCCTTCTGAACTTTCATTTTGCAAAGAGATTTTTCTTTTCTCTAACACTGCTCCTGTCAGATTGATTGGGGGGTTTTTAGTCTACCTTGGAAAGTATTACCCTCACCTTGTGACAGTGTTTACTTAAAGACTTCTGCAGTCTTAGTTTTTCAGAGAAATAGAGCAGAGAAAGATAGCAGGGAAGCTGAGTGGGATTTTTTTGGGGAGTGGGGTGTGCTAATTGCAAAAATAAAGTTGAGTGAATTGGGAGTGTAACTTGACTGTAGCCTAGAACATTTATATTGTACAATTTGCTGAACAACAATCTGTATGAAAGCACAAGACAATCATTGCTAAATATCCAACAGTACTTAAGTTTGCTGTAGAGTATTTTTGAGATTACTCTCCTACAGAATGTACATTATGTCCAGAATCTGCTACTGAACTGATATATTGTGATAATGATGGGCCTTGTGCACTTTGTACATTAATCGTGTGGAGTAAATTGTGCTTGTGGGTGTGTTTGTGGCAGCACCCCTTACGACGCATGTGGAAATTGCGTGGCGGTGCCCATGTCTGTTAGTATTCTGTCGGGACCTAAGTGGAGGAGCTGGTGGCGTTGGCATGGGGGTGGGAGGCTTTCTGCACTGACTGTGGTGTGCTTCTCGATCATGCCCAAGCAGCATCAAGGCCTAACTTTTCAAAGGAAAGCAAAAAGATGCCCACATTTTAACCTGTTCCTTATGCAGACAGAGGATTCCTTTTTGCTCGTGTCCATGCTAACTCATGTCCTGTATTCTCAACTGTCACTTAAAAGTATTGTGATTGAGATTAAGTTATCTCATAAGGAATGAATTTGAAGCTTTTAGCAATTCCTTAATGGAGTGGTATTCTGTTGCATTTTTGTAGTGTAGCCCAAACTCAGCTTTGCAAATACCAATTTCCCATTTACAGAACATTTTAAAGCCAAAGGAGTTATTCAAGGTTGGTGCAGACAAGCAGCTTCGAGAGAGCTTTAAACCTACCTGTAGATATTAAACCCCCCGATTTTTCTGTTTCTAAAAGGTGTTTTCTGTTCCTTCCCCTTGTGGTCTTCA